GAACATCAGGTTCCTGACTTAGGACAGGTGCAAACAAATGCAGCGGGTTTAAACGTTTTAATAGGTACCAACCTTCATCCTTACCTTAAACAATAGTGTAACATCACTACATAGAAAGACAACCTATAAAATATTAATTGAAATGGCTTAACTCAATCAAAAGATATATTAACACAAACACGTGAACATTCACTGAACGAATAAATTTGATCTATGACACAATATAATTACAAAATCAATAAAATATGTGGTGAGATGTTAAACAATTTCAGAAAGTCATCCATAATCTTGGACACAATGCCGCCAAATAGAATAATGTACACAGGTAAATGAAAATAATTTTTTTGTAAGGTATACATTTATGGAGAACGGAAATATTTTTTAAAAAATAAATAATTTTGTTGTTCATAGTACATTTAGTACGAGAACAGAAGTAAAAATTTATAGTCATAGCAAACACTTATCAAAGATAGTATATATTAAAACAGAGAGACGAGATATAACGAGATATAAAACTAAATAAGTCAACATTAAATAAAAAAAAAGCTTTACAAATTTCATCAACAGGTCAAATTAACATGAAAATACGATTTGAGAGTACTCGCAGTTGCTGAAAGCTAGTTAAAAGCTATTAACAATTAATAATAATAAAAAATCATGCATCAGAGAATAAAATCAACTAAAACACATCCCAGGAATTTAGTATTTTAACGTCATGGACAGTCAAAGAAGACATAACTTGTGCAATGTCAAAAATAAAAGTACGACAGGCATTAGGATAGTATGGAGTTAATCTCTATGTAGAAAATGAACGTGGATGTGTTTTTATACATCCAAAAAAAAAAAAAAAAAAAAAAACGTTTGAAAAGAATACAAATTTAGTTATGTTTTAATTTGCTGATGACAAAATCGATATTTATCAAATTAAAACGTTTGTAAGATAACCTTTACTAATAATTTTTGTTTAAAGATTCGATCAGTTTACATGGATCACATAGTGATTTCCGCGCTTTCAGTACAATATCACTGTAAAATTTAGAATGGGAAATACCGAATTTTAATAAAATTTTCTACAGGTACAGACAAATTTACTAATCAAATCTTTGTATCTTGGGCAATATGCGTAATAGATTTTCCATAGGCGGTATTGGAAACGTTTTCCTCTGTAGCACAGTCCATATCGTAAACTTGGATATGCATGACGGCTCATTTCGAAGCTGAGACATTTTCACATATTTGGTTAAATTTTCGAGGTATGTAGTGTAATTCATTTTTCCGTAAATTAGCACACCCCGAAAATCCTTTCGTGTTGCGGCTCCTGGTTGTTAAAAAAATCCCTTTTTTCACACCATAAGTTCTTTGAAAATTTAATACTTTGCATACATTTAATAACTTCATAGTTTTTACACATTTATTCTTTGGTCCTCTACTTTTCAAAACAATACAAATGGTCAAGCTCAGTCACTTGTTAAAAATACAAACATGTCCAATAATACTACACAGAGATTTTACGCACAACTTTCAAGTTGAGGCGCATATTAGGGATATTGACCCATCTATGAAAGAATTTAGTAAAACTTTTAGGTAATTTATGGTAACGAAATTCCTGACTTAATAATTTACCAGTAATGCATTGATTACGTTCGTTAAAATCTATGACACCACTACACACACGGGCAAAACGAAAAAGTTGGGATACATAAACACCGTATGAAGGAGCCAAAGGAGCCAAAGGAACATCGCCGTCTAAAAATGGAAATTTAGCAAAAGGGAATGAACAATCGTCTCTTTTGTCGTAAATTTTAGTATGACGTGTCTTTACTGAGTTTGGTCATAAACTGAGATTCATAGCAATACAGGAATTAATCTGCTATTAAAGGGGCACAGTTAGTGCCCATAGGAATACCTACTACTTGTCGATACACTTTATCGCCGAATCGTACATACATGTTGTCCAGGAGTCAATTTAAAGCTTCAATTATATCTTCACATTTCCAGTAAGTGTATCTAGCATACTTTCCTTTTTCGTTACAGAAAAAGGCTTTAAACGAACTACAGCAAATACATTTGAAATGAAATTTTTCAAAAGACCATTTAATTGAATATGAAAACTTTTTCTTGATAAGATTGTTTAGACTTGTAGTGTATAGAGTAAAAAAATCATAACTGTCAACAGAATTAAAAGGACCATCAAAAGCATGTATTTTATCTAAAACCTCTAAAGAATTTTTAACACTCCAAAATGATTAATACCATTATGCTCATAAGCTTTATTACAAAAGTTATTAATAAGTTCTTTGATAGTAGTAAGGGAGGCAGTTAGAAGCACGGATAGATTAGTAGTAGAACACTTACTATATGCGGAGATGAATGTGACCTGTACGGAGTGCGAGGCTATACATAATCGCAAAAGAAAAAAATGTTCCACTTTTCATAAATATGGGTCAGATTATGCATATTTTACGGTTTTTCCTTGTGTATAACACACCTAAAGGTATAAAGATTTGTTGACGGTCAGTCTTTCATTTGATCATCTTTAGAACCCTCAGTGTATTATTCTACAAAAATAGCCAACTAAAATGCATTATCTATATATCATTAATCTAATGATAATTTACTTAAGAGATAGTATAAATTATAGCACGAACAAAATACTATCCGTTTGAAAGGCATAGTTGTACACATTACATAGGTTTCACACAACGAGTGTTTATAGAAACAATAAATTGGGAATGCTGGAAATGTTTGGCAAATAAAAGTTGTCAAACATTCTGATATTGTACAAATATAAGCAGATTAATTGGTTGATTAAAGTGGTAACGCTTAAATACTGAAAGATTGGCGAGAACTCCAAAATGGAGCAAAACTGGTTGGCTCAAAAGACTAAGCGTGAATTAATATGTATACTTTCCCCGAATTTACACTATAATACAATGTTACAGTCGGAAAATTTGCTCAGACGACTTTACTGGTTTATAATGGAATTTTATGCGACTGTCATAAAAGTAAGAGGTTAAGCTAGCTATAAAAACAGGTTCAATCCACCATTTTCTCATAAGAAAATGCTTGTACTAAGTCAGGAATATGACAGTTGTTATCGTTTCGTTTGATGTGTTTGAGCTTTTGATTTTTTGCCATTTGACTAGGGACTTTCCGTTTTGAATTTTCCCCGGAGTTCGATATTTTTGTGATTTTTCTTTTGATCAACCTGTGCGTAATGGTTGTTCTTTCTTGCAACTCTGTTGCAGCAGTTTATGGGTAGATTACCTGGTAGGGTTAGTATGAACAAAATAGTATACGTGCAAACATAGTTTCCGAACAAAATTGTACGAAATTGGGTCTTAATAACAGTCAGTCTAATGCAACATTGTTTGTAATGTTCATTTTGACTGGATAACACACAATTTTCGTGGCATGTACACATCATTCACAAATCACTAGCGAAGGAAACGCGAGACTTGTTTATATCATTAAATAACCATTGTTTGACTCATAAAAACTGTTATGTCACTTATAAACCATAAGTCCGATTTTTTATTAACATACTTTATAACATTGCGAGCTTTGAAACACTAATCATTTCTTTCGATATATAATTGTTAAAAGTGTCCTGGTTTATTTTGTCAAACGTTGATATTGTACAACGACTGTATACAATTATTATTGCCCTAAGCTATTTGTGATTAAGATATCCCTTAACCATCAACCGAATTGTGATTGCGTCTATACATTTATTTTGATAAGAGTAAAAACAATAGCTTTAATAATAACAGTAGTCCACAGAAATTTAACAAAAGACACAAGCCCTGCTGCTACATATTGACATATTGAAATTGATAGTTCACTATGACAAAATAGAAATAATCTTTCTCCTAACCTTACCTTCAGTTTTAACTCCTTATTTGGCTTTACTTTAGGTTCTGTTTGGTTTCTTCGTCAGTAGTATTAGGTTTTGTATTATGCCCCAAGATTCCCGACGATATATTACGTGTCGAAATGCACATCTGGTGCTGTTAAATTGTTGGATCAGATATTGTTCAAAATATGTGACAGACCTAACTCCTCCTCCTCCTCCTCCTCCTCCTCCTCCTCCTCCTCCTCCTCCTCAGCAGCAGCAGCAGCAGCAGCAGCAGCTGCTGCTAAATCAGCGATATCAACAGCAGTAGCAGCTGAAGCAACGATATCAACAGCAGAAACAGCAGAAACAACAAACATTAGCAGCAAGTTCAGGAAACGTGTATAGCGAATATACTTATTTTCAAAGAGTGCACATATTCCATATGCGATGCACAAAACGTCCTAAGACAAAATTTATTGACAAAACATATTAGTTATATATAATTGTTCTGCCGTTCTGCATTTTCTGTTATGAGCCGTCCATTGTACGACAGTCATGAATGCAAGCAATAGATAAGTGTAACATTAAGAGAAATATTTCTCATATTACACTACCAAATTAAATGGTTATATTATGCTTGTTCTCCAATCCTTATATTGTATCATTTCATTTGGATAAAACAACTCATCGATTATCTTGTAGTAGCTAGTCTGCATTGTTTTGTTGGGAAAGCAGGATTTTCGGTTTGAATCTGTGGTCAGGTCATATCCTTTCCTAACAGTTTGATAAGGGTTCTTCTTGATTAAGCACGCAACATTAAAAAGAGCAAAGACTGGTTGGCTCGAAAAAAAAATGTCTGGTAGTTTACCATATCTCTTGAATGTACAATCTGATAAGGCTTTGCATGTCAGTCTAGAAGGGCACATTTAAATGTTTCCGTCCTGAATATGCATTTGATTTTCCGTTCTCAATTACAGCAAACCATGATCAGCATAAACACAAAGTTAGGACCTTGTTTTGAAAATACGAACTTATAACCATATCATTTGCACATTTACCCAACCTCATAATCCATGTGGCTGTCCCATGTCAGCTTTAATGTTACGATTGTCTTCTGTACCTGTCTATCATAATTGTTTTTCGTTGGTTGGATTTTACAAATTATGCCGTCAATTTTCTCGTTTGGAGTGTTTCACATTGCTTATGTCCAGGTCTATAATAACTGACTTTACAGTTTGTGTTTTTTTCATTGTTAAAGGCTGACATTGGCCTATCATTACTTTTATCTTCGTTTTTTTTTTTTATCTCTATCGGATAGTTGTAGCATTTGCAATCAATCATATCACATTTTAATTTAATGCATGTGGAATATTTAATGAATATACTTATCTTTTTCCCTTATCTCACATACGACTACATACCCTATGGTTTACATTTTTTGTTGAATCATGTTTTATAATTTTTTTTTGTATCATGTTTTTGAAGCGTGTCGACCATGTCATAATATAGTTTCACTGCAGTCATACTGGTAACAGGGATATATAGTTTTTATCGGTTGTGAATATAATTTATTAAGTTACTAGCTTATTTAAACTGTAAGTATTTTTAGATATACTTTTTTTCTGAAAGCAATTTTGTTATCAATATTAGTACAAAATCATCAAAATAAAGGTCTACAACAGGTGTTACATTATTTGACTTAATCTTGAATACAATAGTTGAAACGAAACACTATAAATCACATGGTCTAAAAGCAATACTGTCTTTGTTAAAGGTACACAGATACGAATATTTTATTTTTAACAACTCACTGTATCCTTGTCTTTATCGTGGAACAATTATTTTTGTATCCGTTAATTTATGTTAAATGTAAACTAAATACACTAGTAGTGAGATGTTTTGTTATTTATTCTTTTTACTAATTTAAATATTACAAAGAATGCGGAACGACAAACCCAGTTTTCATACAAATAAAAAAAAACAAAAAAACATATGATTATCTGAAAGGTCATTCTTTCATCAACAAGGGAACTTGATACGGAAGAATTTAGTTACAACAATTTATATTTGCGTTTCATTATCTACCTTGCTTGTCAATAGGATTACAGATTGGACATATAATGCTTTTGCATCTTGTTTTATAGTCACTTTAAGGGTAAGTTATAATAAACTCGTGACATTTTTTATACATTAAATGATCTTAAAATGTACTGTACCAAGTCAGGAACATGTCAGTTGCTATAAACTAGTCCGTTTCTGTGTATGTTGAAATTTGTTTAATGTTGCAGTACAGTGTTTCTGTTGTTCTGTTGTTTTCCACTTAAAGTAGATTTTCCCCTTCGGTTTTAGTTTGTAACCTTGATTTGGTTTTGCTTAATCGATTTATTAAACAGCGTTATACTAATGTTGCCTTTTTTTATTTGAAAGAAAATGCAAACAATATAACAACATTTAGCTAACAGAACAGCCTGGATATTAAAAAAAAAAACAACAATATGGATAAAAAATGCCCGATGCAAATAATAGACATTTGCATTTACCATCTAAACATGATTAATTTTTGAATATTTCATCACAATTTGAATTGAGAATTGTGTTTTACTTTGACTTATTAACAATAAATTCTTTATATTTTGCAGATAACATCATGATGAAATACAGTGTTTGTGTTTTTATTAAGTTGCTCATTTTCGTTTGCTTCATCAGTAGAGGTAAGGGACATGCTTGTAGTTAAATAGTCATTCACATAATACTATATAAATTATTCTTAAATAAACGAAAACAAAAACGATCACGCAATGCTTATTACAACAAATAATGAATACAAAGTGTAACAATTTAAAAGGTGATCATCTGTACCTTATATACGTTTATATTGCTTAGAAAAAAGGGTTGAACATTTGTTGAACACAATGTTATATGGTAACATTTGTGTCGTACCTTATAACCTTTTTAGTTAAGTGTTGTCAAAAAAGGTTGTCATTCAGAGATCCAACGAGACGACACGTGTGGTGTTCGATACAAAAAAACAAAGTAATTGATGCAATCAATAAACAACGCTACTCAAGCTGTAGTTTATACTTACCAAAAGATTGAATTTGCACGCTGAATATTAGATTCATGGTTCGAATCTGTATTTCAAAAAGTTTCTTTTTATAAATGTTTAAATGTAGCTGACATTGTTTGTATGATATCGCTACATAATGTGCGCGTTGTTCATAGTTAAATATGTATGAAACAACGCTATTGATGGTTATATATATTGTTTTTTATTTATTGTTTAAGGTTCGACAAAAATACTTTTCAAAAACATATGATCAATATTTACCAACTTCACTTATCAAGCGTTTTTATTCATTTATTAATATACAGGTTTTTTTTTTATAAAGGGATCGTATCTTTGAATGTATGTAAAAACCATGCCAATTCAGTTATATATAATCGAGTTTAAAATAAAAGCTATATACATATATTTATTTATGCCGCTGATGGACATAAATGTCAGAAATCAAACATACATGTGAATCACTTAAACAAATGTTTTAAAGCCTTGATTTCGTCCCAACGTTTAATCTTTTAATATGGTTTTATTGAAACTGCTGTTAAAGTAAACACTTAATCTAGTTAGTGTTATGTGTTTATATATAGTCGTATATGATTTATAACAAAGTCATGACAGTTTCGGCCCTTTGTGTAATGATGCAATATGTCATGTGATATAATTTTTTTCTTTCTGAATAAACGTGCTATGGTTAGTTGATGTGTGTTTTTTTTTTTTTGTTGGCTCTTATCAAATATACGTTTAGCGGTATTGGGAGGCAAGTATTTGTCCCCGATGACGTAATATATAACAAGAAAAAAAAAAGAAGACAGAGAAAATTTGCTTAATAAAAATACCATAAATATGTCAAGGCCTCCGTGGATTATTCTCTCAGACTAACGCGGGCTTAAGCTCTGAATGTTACCATTGTAGATTATTCTGCAATTGATATAATAAATATAGAAATAATAAGGTAAAAAGACATAAATATTGCAACAGAGAACATAATTTCCCGAAAAACAACTTATTACACTACACGAAGCATCTGGAACGGGTAATCTCTATTAATTTAATGTGTTGTTTAAAGCTTAAGTAGATAATTCAGCTTCTCTTCATAAATAAAAACAAAAATATACAGCGACCAAAGCCAACACTAGCTGGTGCTGTTTTTTTTTTTTTGGGGGGGGGGGATGTAAGAAAGAAAACTTAGAGTATAATTATAATAGAATGTTTTGGCTTTTTTTCTTTAATTTCAGGGCTTCAAAACAAGATAATCTATTCAATTTATGGTTCAATTAAAGAAATAAACTTGCTCAATGGAGAAGTATCAACTTTAGTATCCAATCTGCAGAGTAATATATATTCCTTAGACTATGATTATAAAACTGGATATATTTTTTTCCCGAGGCATAATAAAGACGATATTTTGAGGTAATCAATCAAAGCATTTTCTTATAATCTTGAAATTGATATATACATGTGTATGTTGTATTTCAGTACTCCTGACTTTGGCTGGAATCATTTATATATTTAAATACAATTTCAGGAATCCCATTTTATCAATGGTTCAGCATTCTGGCAAAATGTTAAAAGATTGACTGAAAGTTATTATTGACGACAGCTAATTGTATTTGGCTTTAATCATCTTACATTTAAAGGGAGGCGAAAGATACCAGAGGGACATTCAAACCCATAAGTCAAAAAATAAACTGACAACGACATGACTAAAAAAGAAAAAAAAAGCAACAGACAAAGTGCAAAAAACACAACATAAAAAACTAAAGACTGACCACCACGAACACCTAAATCTGGGGGTGATTTCAGGTGCTCCGGAAAGGTAAGTAGACACTGTTCCACATAAGACAACCGTCGTATTGCTCATATAAGTACAAATATCCGGTAATAAGGCTAATTCGGTAGTTCACATTCGGGAAAAATTGACGGGATTGTAGTTACGACATTATGAACATCTATGAAACGGATATTCCATAACGGTCAACCAACTTCTGATGGCGTCCTTAAAACTTACGAAGAGATTATTTTAACTTCACCACTTGGGACTGATGGTTTAATAGCTTCTTTGTGGACAACAACCCTCTATCAAGGAAATGGTGATAGGAAATGCAAGCCCTGGAAAATCATATCAACTTGGAGATATGTATTTCGTATGCAGGCTGGAATATTGCTACATAGAAATAGTAACTACTGTGTGACTTTATAGTTTTGTGATCTGCGTCGTTCTTATCACCAAAATCCTTTTCAACTGATTTAAGCAGTTGGTTCCTAACTTATGCTGTCACAATACTGTTCCAGCTTAGAGTGACAGTTACACACAAACAATTGTGTGCAACCTTATGTATTCATTGTGTGCCTGTTTTAAGTCGGGATCATTCAATGAAGTTCTGAGTTTTGTATTATGTTTATTGTTTTTCTTGTTTAAATTATTTCATATTTCGCCATATTGATGCATTTTAGCTAATTAACGATCATGGTTTCCATTATTGTTGAAGTCCATACAAAGACCTGATAAACCTTAAGTTACTTATAAATATATCCACGTCATTTATATTACCCCAAATTAGTTTATCTTACATAGTATAATATAATATACTGTAGTGATTGCTAATAAGAATGAAAACAATGGTCTTAAATTTTAATAAAATATAATGGTTAAATCATAAAATATATTGGAGAAATCATTCTGATAGACTGAACGCCAATAACCTCAATTAAAGTACATAAGGTACTATTAGGGATTTTCAAATATGAAAAGATTGTTTTGGGAGAGAGAAAACTACAATCAAAGAGAGATGTTAACATACAAATGAAAGTTAGATATTTTCGTAGGACGAACCCTCATATCCTCAAAATACAGAGAGTGAAGACGAAACAAGTGTCACATTCATTTTGTTTTGTTTAGTTGATAATTAGATCTTTGTTAATCTATTCTCATCTTAATTGTTTACATGGGAGCAAATAACCTTGGTCTCATTTTTCATGCTAACCACTTTGTCTTGGTCAATGGGTTATGGTTTTATTCAATATTTTCACCTCTGACAAATGTTTTGTATATATTTCGTTGGTTTCGTGTTTTCAATAATTTGCTGTGTTTCACGAAAGAAAATCCTGAAAAGCGCTTCGAACGCACGGAAAGTATTTATTTCATTTAAGGAAGTGTGAAATTATACAAAAGTATTATTTACATTTCATAGGTTTCGTTATCCATCTGATACAGCTTATAGCACTAAATTGGTAATAAGTGCAAGGGAACCAATAGCTCTGGTTATTGACCCGCTATTGAATCATGTGTATTGGACAGAAATATACCAACAAAAGATCTATAGATGTAATTTTGATGGGACAAATAAGAACTTCATTCTGCAAGATGATCAACTATATGCTATTACATTAGATTACGTAAACAGGTTTGAATTAAAATTAATACGGCATTTGGGAATCTGGTTATAATAGGATAATAGAGAAAGCACAAAACCAGCTTATCTGTCTAAATTCGATTTGATTGATAAATTTAACAATACTTACTGTTATTTTGATGATATTTTCTCATAATAATCAAGAATACTCTGAATATACTGCCGAAATTCACCACAGCTAACTTACTTTAAATAGATCCAATATTAACACCAATAACTGAACTTTTCTAGAGTTAGATATATATATCAGTTTTACACGAGAAGTCTTAACAAAAATTTACGACCAAAGGGACGATTGTTTATTTTTTTGGAGGTGATGCTCCTCTGGCACCGTCTAACGGTGTTTTTGTTGTTGTACAAGTTATCATTTTGTACAAATTCTAATTTGTATTTTTACTTTGTACAAATTGAAATATTTACATATTTTGACTAAAATTCACTTATAGGTTGCATTTCAGTAAATATAGACAATGCAATTTCCCATAGGAACTCCCTTTACGGCTAGAACTGTGCAACTTTTACTATAAAGTTTCGTAAAACATAATGACCTAAAATGGAAAATTGATTTGCACTACTTTTTTATTCAAATGTAAATACACAGGGCTGTGCGTCATATTTTCAACATTTATATACCCCCAACTTCTTAGAGTTTAAACTTGTACTAAAATTCTGCACTACCCCTCACATCACTTATGATCTTTCTTAGAATTCAATTTACCCCCTACCATGTGCATTTATACTGGTAACATTCCCGATTTAAGATGAAACATAGGGATCATATCTGGGAACCAGTACGTAAACAAAAAAAAATATCGATGATTTTTTTATATTTCCCCAAAAGAAGCGTGGTTTGTGAAAAAGCTGTATTTACAAAGTCCAACCTATAACGTGTACATTAATTCAAATTGTTGATTTTGTTATAAAAAAAAAGGATTGATACACACTATAAATTTTTTATTAAATGACCACACAAAAAACCTTATTTACCGAATACAAAAATATTTCTGCATCATTTGTTTGAGCGTGTGAGTGAACTATGGCATCGGGAATCGCACAAACTCATTTACTTTTTACATTTACATTTTACATATTGAGAAGTGCTTCTCCTCCTTTGTATCTACATGAAAGAAAACCCTGACCATCAGTTTTTGAAAGCTTTTTAACTGTTTCACGTAGCAAAATTTTAAGCTCAGAAACCATTGCTGCGAATAAAGATGTGGCTTTAACAGCTTCAATTTGATTTCAGTTGAGGAACGATCATACTGAGGAATTGGAAAAATGACATTATCCCCCACAGCCAGCTTTGATAATTTCTGTTTCGTTTTCATGGTTAGATATTCGGCTTGGATCTGTTGGCCAGCCAGCTCACGGTTCTTGGCACGAATGATTGGTGATTCAACGTCAATATCATCCTAATTGTTACCCGAGCCAATTTCTATTATACTATCAGAATTGTCACTGGGTCAATTTCTATTATACTATCAGAATTGTCACTGGGGCCAATTTCTATTATACTATCAGAATTGTCACTGGGGTCAATTTCTATTATGCTATCAGAATTGCCACTGAGGCCAATTTTCATTGTACTATCAGAATTAACTGGTATTCATGTATCACTAACATTTAATATTATATAAATATTTTGTAGTGTATATCTATGCTTTTTTTTTTATAACAAAATACATACTATAAATTATTGTACAAGTTATAAGTGAATTTTAGTTGAATTGTGTTCAAATTGTAATTTGTACAGGCACTTGTTTACAAATTATAATTTGTACAAAGTCCAAATACAAATTATAATGTGTACAACTTTTTTGTACAAATTATAATTTGTACAAAATGATAACTTGTACACAACATTTATATATCACAACTCGTTCGCTATACTCGTGTCTGAATTGACGCTTTGAATTTGAATGAGTGTAATATATGTTTTACTAAAATTATTTAGTCAAGTATTTCGATACCACGAATCTTTTAAAACCTTTTTCTATATTCTTCCATAGAGACAAGAATTTGGTTTGCAAGTTTGGCTGGATTCGATATCATTAATTAAATCAATAGTTGATATTAATGTTATACACAAATGCATGGAATTACACTTTGTCGATGACTGTCAATGCACAATGTCATGGTTTCTATTAATGACGTTTTTACACTAAATCCATTGCGTGTTGGGTGTGTATTGATTGATATCTTAGTCTTAGATACATGATTCTTTTTATTAGTTGTTATTGGTTTCAGCTTTCAGTATCTTCGAGTATTATCAAGTCTTTACTTGGTGCCTTTTTTGTTTTGGGATGTATAGATACGCTGCCACATCCGGTCTGTGTTTTCGTGTTTTTTTGTTTTTTGTTTTTAGTTTGTATCTGATCTGATGAGGTGAACCCTTTTCAACTGATCTTCAAAATTTGTTCTAATGTTGTTCTGTTTGTCCCAGGTTAAGGGAAGGATTAAGCGCCAGTAAACTAGTTCAACCCTGCAACATTCGTAATGTGCCTGTCCGAAGTCATAAGCTTGTTGTTTAGTCGTTGTAATTGATTCATGTCTAATATTTAATTTTTGGAAATTGTTTTGTTATAAATTAGGCCGTTATAATTCTCAATTGGATTGTTTCATATGTTTTACATGTCAGAACCTTTTATAAAGTTAGGTTTTTATTCTCATTATTGAAGGCCGTATGATTGTCTACAATTGCTAACATCCACTTCATTGAACTTTGGTGGATATTTGTTTCATTGGCAATAATACATCATTTTCTTATTTCTATATTCTATGTTTGTAATGCCAGTCTGATTTACGAGCGAAAGGTCGGGCGGGATGACGTGGGTTCCCTTTTCATTTTATTTCATCTCATTACAATGTTAAAAGAAGATCGCAGAAACTTCAGTAAAACATGTGTAATATGTCGAAGAAGTGCATATGTTACTACTTACTTGTTTGCAAATTTTACAAAGACTATTTACAATAGTGAACCAATATACATGTAGAAATCATTTTCAGTGTGTTAAGCTCTTGTCTCTCTATTTTGGCATTTTTTTGGGAACAATATTCAAAAGATAAGTAACATTATATACCTATACGGAGTTATTTTCTTACAGAACGTAAGGTGCTTTTTTGGAAGAATCAACCCGGACGATACCAAGTTACAATACTTCAAGACATAAAATAATGTCCTGCGTACGGTCATTATTTTCCCTGATTAAAATGCAAACTATAATTAAATTATTTAATAAACATTAAAGTCGTTTGATAGTAATCGTGTGATGTTACCAATTAGGGTTTTACATTTTTTCTTTTCCATCGTTTCTGGCTCGACAGAAACAATCATTTCCACTGTTTATTAGATTGAAATACCAACAAATCGCACATTTTAACTTTACTTAACTAATACTTTCAAAACAAGCCAGATTTAACACATTTACATTCGTGTGTAGGATTTTTGAAAATCCTATTGATTCACGTTGTATTGGAAATCATTCTTCGACCTTGGATATTCGTTTTTCGTGTTACTTGTACATGTACAGGTATCACGATTGCATATTTCCTTTGTGCCAGTTCATAACTTTTTACATCTATTTTTTTGTTTTACTCTATCAAATGATCAAATTACTAAATATTCTTATTTTCTACAGAATAACAGTCGTGAACATTAGGGGGGATGCATAATGTATACTCCAGGTTATCAGTTAACAAAAATGTAATGCTAGACAAAAGAGTGGCAAAATTTATTCTGAATAGTTTATTAAAAGTTGTTACAAGAATAATCTGCTTTTTTGCGATAAAATTGTCAACAACTTACAAAGTGACTTGTATTTTTCATACACCGTGACAAATCAGTTGTGTCTTGCTTCATACTGTAACAGTTATGTTTTCATGGTAACTGGATAATGACTTCTAAAGTTTATATCTAAATCAATGAGTGAGTTTTATTTCACATTGTAAATGAGCCGTATCAGAAAGAAATATACCACAAATCATTGCAGAAAATAATATTTGTTTATGGTATACAAGTCAGATAATGCAGATTTTAAGTTTTGTTGTCGTATAACACATATATGGCTGTCAGGATTGCCTTTTCATTTGATTAATTCTGACATCCCTCGGTGTGCTATACGACAAAAAAAAAAAAAAAAAAACGCAAAACATGCATTATCTATAACATATTATCTAACCAAATCTTTGTGACTTCACAGGAAATAGTCAACACTATTGAGGTTGTCATTCGTGCATTCTGAGCATGTTAAAACATCATTTTTCATTTTCCTATTTTTTTTAGTCTGTTAGTGAATAATATTGTTTAATGATTATAACAAATCATTTTACATAACTGTCTTCAATTTGCGTTTTTTTTAACATATTATTATATGATAAGTCGTTTGGTGTTGTTTCCTCTGTGTTAAGATTATATTCTGAAATTTGAGGCAGCACAGATGATAAGTCTGGTAGTGTCTGACGATACAGCAACAGTAACAACAATTCTTATCATTTACTTAATTCTTATATTGTTTGTTATTACCACCATTTTTACTCAAGGTCATAAACAATGTAAAGAAACATTAAATAACGTATAAGAAGACACCGTTTGGAAGCAGATTGTTGAAATCAACTGATAGTAAAGGGGTTTTTAAATTGGTTCTTATTTATTGAAAAGTAATAATGTCATTAAAATGTGATCAATTCAGTTCCGATATGTTATTCGTTTTAATGTCAATGCCGCATAATAAACATGATGGATTATCTGTGCAATATCATCGTAGGGTATTGACATGATGTAAACTAAATAATAACGAATAAGAAAGAAAAAAACTAGTTGTAATAAACATTCTTTGAAAAAGATTAAATTGGTTTAGGTGATAGAAGCCACACGATATCATTTTCCTTTTAAGGAACATGTCTTATTATGATCCAAAGTAGACTACCACCATTTATTCACAACTCTCTCACGTTTTTCAATATTTTTCTATTATGTGATTACAGATGGCTGTATTATAGTACAAAGACAAATAAAATAAAAAGATCAAGATTAAATGTTGCTGACAAAACGACCATTAAAGAATTGGTAGATGTAACTGGTTTGGGTATAGGTATGTAGACTCAATGGTTTATGTTAAAAAAAAAACGACAACATGGATATAAAATATGTGGTACCGATGACCGATAGCCTTCATAATGATAGAAGATTCCTGGAATTAGATTTAATGTGTTGACGATTGCATTTAATGTTTTCCTGGCATCCTTTTTAGAGGTTGAAGCTGGACGTTTTTCAATCTAATGGGCTAAAATACAATGACAAAAATATGTTTTATCCATAAATCAGAAGCCTTCAACAAGTACTTATAATATGCGGAAGAAGTAGTGTTTCCAGTCTAAGTGGAAAGCTTATCAGAATCATATTTACAAATTAAGTATTATATAAAAGAAAAGCATGAACAGAACATACCACAATATATTCTGAATATTTAATGATGGAAAAGAGTAACTGAGTACATTAACTTATCGAAATGTCCGTTTACACTGAGGAGAAACTTATCAGAGATACGCTCAAATAAAAAATAAAAATTTAGAAAGACCGGGTAAAGTACGGATTTAAAAGGCATTTGAGAGTCAGAGTTCTGAAAGTTTTGCTAAATACTGCTAAAGTAGTCTATTCCAGGGGTTTGAACAGAAAACCTCCAAAAATGACTTTTCATGTTCTTTCATTTCTTTTTAGACCGTGACATACAAAGAAAAAGTCCTTTTCTAATGTTTGACTTGCCCAAATGAAGACTGCTAAATCTTGCTATCTGTATGTTACAAAACGTTAAGAAAAAAAAATTTGCCGTACGGTGACCCATAGTTGCTAACTTCTTATGTGTAAGATTATATACATAAGAAAAGACCTAATAGTATATCAATAAGTCGAAAATGGTATAATTTATGTGAAAAATACCCCCATAACAATTGTTGTTTCCATGACATTTTTCAAAATTAGAAAATTAGAAATGGCACATTATTGCCAATAAAATAACAATCCATAGAGTTAAACCAAGAATGACATGCACAATTGCAGGTGACCGATTGACTTTGAACCTTGTGGATACTAAGCAATAAACTGTACAAAGGCCAAGCTTAAATAAATATGTAAGCAGTTAAAACAATAAAACATTAAGCAGACAGTTTCTTTTAATTGATTATAACTTTAAGCATAAACTTGACAAAGGTTGTTAACAGTAGCTTTTTACATCAATGCTCAAACAAAGTTGGTTGAACAAAAAGATAAAACATGCTACACAGAGCTACAAGTGATCAGTATGATGGAGTTTCTCATTGATAACAAATTTGTTGAATTTGGAGGTATATTTTTTAAACAAGTTGTTGGCATTCCTATGGGAACAAACTGTGCGCTACTCCTTGCCGATCACTTCTAATTTTCATATAAGTTCCTTCAGACACTTATCAAAAACATGTAAATCAAAGATGCCCGATCATTTAATTTCACATTTAGATATATTGATGATGTATTTTCCATAAAGAATCCATACTTTTTCTGATTCGGTTCCATTAATATATATTCCAGAACTTGAAACTAAAGAAACAACTAACACGGCTTCCTCTACTTCAATTTTTAGACTTATACCTCGAATTTGACATAATATCAGAATATCTGACAAACGAGACGATTTCAATTATGAAATTATAAACTTTTCCCACCTTGGCAGCAACATACCAACTTCACCTTCATATGGGATTTACATTTCCCAACTCATTCGGTATCCAAGTGCTTGCTGCTGCTACTCAGACTCTATAAAACGTCACCAGTGTCTGAGCAGAAAGTTGATGGGCCAAGGTTATGTTACAGAACGTCTCGTCCTTTTTTTTAAAAAAGATCATTGGAAGATACCAAGACCTTGTTGATAAATATTCTGTATTAACTTCGCAAATATGATAGTCTTGAAGTATAGATTCTAGGAACTGACGTTGTTTGTCATCTTAATTACGTCATTGTACGTGTACAGTTTCCTATGTGTGTCCTTTTAAATTTTTAACCTTTGCTGTTTAGTTCATTTTGGATTACGTGGATCGGTACTCATACATCCCTCATTGTGTTATTGTGCTATGGTCTATTTTTAATTATTGTCTTTTAATTTTGGTTATTTTCTTTGTCTATATGCCATTTTGTGATTCTTTGTTGAAACTGTTATTTGTTTTATTAGTTAGTAAGATTGTATTACAATGTTGACTGCTTTACCCCAATTTTTGACGTGGTTACCTATAATGTCTGTTTGTTTTGCTCACACATTGTTGTCAATAAAATGGAATTCAATGCGACTGTCATATAAGTGAGTGGTTTTGCTAGCTAACAAACCAGGTTTAATTCCCCATTTTCTTTATAAGGAAATTCCTGTACCAAGTCAGGAATATGAAAGTTGTTTTCCGGTCGTAAGGTGTGTTTTGACTTTTGAGCTTTTGATTTTGCAATTTTATAAAGGACTTTCTGTATTGAAATTCCCTTGCAGATCGGTATTTCTATTATTTTACTTTTCAGTAAGAGCTGGTTTTAGGCTAAAGAGTGTATTCTATTGAATAACAATGCAACAATCATGATAATGATTATAATAATACTATTATTATTATACATACAATGACTTCTTCAAATAATAAGAATAATACTCTTAGTAATCCCGAAAGGCTCATCGTTATTCCTAGAAAACTGACACCCTTCGAAAAGAAAAAATTACAAAACTTTTAAACCATTGTGTGTCGCGAAGGGCCAGAAATGACAACATTTGATTTAAACAACTAGTGAAAACTGTATATTCCTGCCAAGCTTACCTTTAAACAAACTTATTAGTAAAGGTTATCTTACCAATGTTGTAATTAGATCTTTGAATATAGTTTACATTGGCACTAATATCGATTTTGTCATCAGCAAAATAAAACATAACTAAATTTGTATTCTTTTCAAACGGGATGTATAAAGACACACCCACGTTCATTTTCATCTATAAAGAGGTTAACTCCTAACTATCCTACTGCCTGTCGATACATTTATTCTTGGCATTGCACAAGTCTTGTCTTCTTTGACTGTCCATGACGTTAAAATACTAAATCCCTGGGATGTGTTTTAGTTGATTTTAGTCTCTGATGCATGATTTTTTATTATTAATTGTTTTTGGCTTTTAACTAGCTGTCAGTAACGGCGAGTACTCTCAAATCGTACTTTCTTGTTTATTTGACCTGTTGATACTAATTGTAATGTTTTTTTTGTTATTTAATGTTTACTTATTCAGGGTTAAATCTGGTCTATATACCAGCTTTGATAAGTGTTTGTTATTACTATAAATTTTCAATTCTTCGTACTATGAACATCAATGAAAGTTATTTATTTTGTAAAAAAAATTCCTTTGTCCATTTGAACTGTACACGTATACCTAACAACAAAATTATTTTCATTTACCTGTGTTTAAAGTAATTGCAAATGGCTGATATTTTTCTTCAAGCATATTGTTTTTCTTAAATTGTTTGACATTCCACAGCGGTATAACATGTTACTTTAACTATTCTTCATTTAGTTTATTTATTTTGTATTTACATTGTATCAAATATTTGTTCAGTGTATGTTCACTGGTGTTAATATGTCTTTTGATTGAGTTGAGCCATTTCAATTGATATTTTATAGTGTCTTTCTATGTTGTGATGTTACACTATTGTTTCAGATAAGAGTGAAGGTTTGTTACCATTAATACGTGTAAACCCGCTGCAATTGTTTGCATCGGTTCTAAGTCAGGAACCTAATATTTAGTAGTTGTCGTTTGTTGATGTGGTTCATAAGTGTTTCTCGTTTCTCGATTTTTATATAGATTAGACCGTTAGTTTTCCCGTTTGAATGGTTTTACACTAGTGATTTTTGGGGGCCTCTATAGCTTGCTGTTCGGTGTGATCCAAAGCTTCGTGTTGAAGACCGTACTTTGACCTATAATGGTTTACTTTTATTAATTGGACTTGGATGTAGAGTTGTCTCATTGGCACTCATACCACATCATTATATCTATTAATTCAAATTCATGTTACTAAATTGTCGTTATAGGTCAGGCCTTTATACTGTAAATCAACAATTCCACTATCTGTATATTTATTACTAGTATTATTTTTATATTTTTTTTTGTGCTAAGTATTAATTATCATTGATCAGTGTAATGAATCGTGTGTCAAATGTGAGGCGATAATTATGTTTATTTTATTTCAATATAGTCACGACATAAATACCTTGTAACACCATATTGAAATAACTACCAAAACTGATGATAGTGATTCTAAAAACACCATTGCTATTTCAGATGCTAACAAAAAACGACTGTATTGGATGGAATATCAAAAAGGTGATTTGGAATCTTCCGATCTAAATGGAACAAATGCTATCAAAGTTGTCAGCACGAATAAAACGAGAACAAACATAGGCATCTATGTTTATGGTAGCAAAATATATTGCTCAAATGGTAATCAAATATTAAAGGTCAAAGTATCACCAGTTACAATGGCAGAGGTCGTACACACAGATACAGAGAAAATTCATGGTGTACTTTATTATGATGGTAAGGATATACTTATTGGAAGAAAAGGGTAAAGATAAATTATCTGACATATTCGTATACTGTTTATATTTTTTCAGTCAATTAAGATAAAATCACATGAACGGTACCAATTGTTCTGCACAAGATGCGCATTTCCACAATTCATGAGCTGTGTCAGATAGAAATCGACCTTATGCAAATGATTATCAATATATATATATTAACCTTTTTCGGGTTGAAAAAAATCTATATGCAAAATTTGTAACTGTTTGAAAATTTAGTCGATATAAAAAACCTACAAAATAGACCAAATCATCTTTTATTTCGTATTTGAATGTTTCAAAATCAATCAAAGTATGATACATGTACATGTATAAGTGTATTTGTCAATTTCTATCCGATGCAGCTCACATGTCACATGATAGTATGGCCGAAATATTTGAAAAAATCAAAACCTAATGAAAAAAAAAATGAAGAGCCTATACATTATAAACCAAAAAGAACAAAAGGTAAAGGCACAGCCGGGCAAGGAATCAGAGCTTATAATGAGAGGATTATCAGTCCAATAAACATGTGGATATTTCTTAACGAATCAATTCATAATTGATTTGCAATGTTTTTTAATTGGATTATTTAAAATGCAATATGTGTAAATAATGACTTGTTAAGAAGAATGAATAAGTTTGTACAAATGTATGTTAGTCTGTAAATGAGAAAATTACATGCATACAAACAATGTATATTGCACAATACGGATGAATTGTACACGTAATTTGACAAATAAAAATGTTTGCAATAAATGTTTAAATTATTGACCTAAATATGTTATGCATAATTTTATCATATATGTAATCTATATATTTTCATCTGCAACTTTTATTTGTCATTAGTTGACGATGTTTAACCTTTTTGTTTGGGTCTTTGTCTAAAGATTGTGAAATAGTTATGTACTGCTTGTACGTGTATGCAGCCATATAATCAATGTTATCTCGTAGCTGTTAATTCGCTTTAAATTAACGAAACGTACATGTTAACTAACTCTATTATCTAGCTTAATAAATGCAATACTGTTGGTTCATTTTATTTCGTGGTAACCAATTTTCGTGGATTGAGGAAAACTTGCATTTTCGTGTATATCTAATGTCATTGTTAATGCTAAGTCTGCAAACATTCCTTTAGAAAAAATTGTAATTCGTTGAACATTTTAATTCGTGGTTCCCATGTGAAAACGAAATCCACGAAAATTGGTTTCCAACGAATATTAATGAATTCACAATAACAGATGTTTATGATATGAGAGAGCAGTCTTTTATTGACGTAACCATTTGGATATCAGCTATGAGTAATCAATAATAAAAAAAACCTAGACAAAACAATAGTACAAACGAATAAACGTATCCTACTTTGTAGGCTTACAGAGGGATGCATATAGTTCGTTCTACCTCATAATCACGAGTTTTTAATTGTATTTACTAATAATGTTTCAATCGATAAATATTCAAGGTTTATGTTAATACAAGTTTGTAATACATTTAGAAAAGAGGGGCGAAAGATACCAGAGGGACATTAAAACTCAAAAATCGAAAATAAACTGACAACGCCATGGCTAAAAAAGAAAAATAACAAACACACAAATAATAGTACACAAAACACAACACAGAAAACTAAAGACTAAGCAACACGAACTCAACCAAATACTAGGGGTGATCTTAGGTGATCCGGAAGGGTAAGCAGATTCTGCTCCACAAATGGCACCCGTCGTGTTGCTCATGTTAGTACAAACCCGATAGCTAGTTTAATTCGATAGGTCATAGAAATATCGTGTTTGCCCCTCTTTCCATACAGATTTGAACTACATACATTCACACAACCTTATTTCATTCATTAAAACGACATAAGTGACATGTCACATTGTATATTATGATTAAGATGTTTTCTAAATACTTTATGACATGTTTACATCATGTCTATATTATACGATGTGTTATTGGTTTTTAATGTTTAGTTTGACTAATTTGATAATGTCATATTTGAAATAAAACTTGAACTCACTTTTGCTTTTTTCGAATAATATTTTCATGAAAACAAAGTATCCCTTCTATGAACAAATGATTTTCAAATCAATGACCATTATCTCATGAATTAATTGATATTTGATTAAACATGTCTCTAAATTTGCACATATTAGCATGTTGAGTTTGATTATACATATGTTTTATATATCTAATTTCAACCTAACGAATTGATTTATGTTATCCTTTTTCATTTAAAGAAATGTTTAAAACGTCTATATATGAGGTATTTACAAACATAACCTTAATTGATCCCACTGGCATCCAAAGGTGAGTAAGATTTTATGTTTTTTTTTAATTCAAAACTTATTATAGAAACGTGTAAAAAATGTTTATAGTTACATCAGCACAGGCAAATGATTATAATTTTCAATTGATTTTGAATAAAGAAATATTTAATATGTCACAATACACATATTTGAACTGAAAACACTATTATCCTCAGATTGTTTTTCGCGCATATGCGTTGATATTGGCAAGTTTGGATCAACTGCATAACAGTTTGTTATCCGTAGACTAGACTCTACAAAGTAAATCACATTACACAAACACTCGTCTACAAAAAACAAAATACATAATAGAAGTAACAAAAAAAAAAAAAAAAAAAACGGAGGATATAGGGTATTTAACGATGACAAAAAATCAGTACATATAAGTTTTTGTGATATTAAATGGATATACAAAAGTGTTTACATGAACCTATTGTTTTACCTGTTTTTTGAACAAAGACATTTATTTTTCTGTAGAAGATTTTGCTTAACACATCTGACTTACAGTTGAGAAAGATTATGCAGTATCTTAATTAACCATTGTTGTTCCTGCTTTATATATCCTTCATTGTAAGTATTGTTATAATTTATTATAATGTTGTGTTCTACAGATATAATTTCAAAGTACATGTTAAAATTAGTTGTTGTGAAGGTGAAAATAGTAACTTCCGCTTTTCAAATCATTTTAGTGTCAGATGATGGCTTACCCGATGCGCATTATTCATATAAGTTACATTACCATTAAAAAAAACTATTTTACTATACGCTGATTTATCAGGTCTTTTGAATGTTTGATAGGATAACTGAATCTATGCATCTTTAAACTCACAATCAATGTGCCTGCTTGCCATTTTTGAAACAACTTGTTTTCTTATGTAAAAAATCCAACCCTGTCAAATATTTATTTCATCATTGAACACATTTATTGAAAAAGTCATGTGGAAAGTATCCCTTTACAATATAAATTCTCCATCTTAATTTACTACGTCGATGAAATGCCAAACAAACGTACACATGACATCAAATAACGTCACCTTAAACCGAACACTTTGTCAGAAAAATAACGATTGAAATTACGCGTAATATAAGCCAGGTATAGTTGATGAGTTTTTACTTTGATTGCGATGCTACAAACATATGTACATGTATAGTGAAGGTAAATGGAAAACATGAACTTATATATTTGTCCGATGTCATATAACTGATTAATTATATGGAAGGCTACACGGTGACTACATTTTGTTAACTTATATGCAATTTTGGCAGTGGTGGAGATTTGCTTTCCTGGAAATCATACAAAAACTTAATTTTTTCATATATAGGAATTTTTATTTTAACTAAGAATAAACATGATGTAACTAGATACTTTCGGCCACGTCAATTAAGTTTTCTTTGTCGTGCGTATTTGGTTTTTATGCGATATAATCATAAGTTTATAAATGCCTTTAGTTTCTTCTAGTCTTTTGTGTTCTTTAAACGTCTTCAACTTCATAAACATGTTAAGTCAGTCTAGTAAACAACATGACCCTGCCAAATTTAATTTGTTTTAAATGTTGATGCAATCTTGTGTACAGAAAATCACTTAACCAATCGACCAAGTCTTTTTAAAACGTCATCACTGAGCAGAAAGTTGATGAACCAGGAGTATGTCAAAGAACGTCTCGTCCTTTTTCTTAAACAAGACCTTGTTGATAAATCATTCTTATCAACTTCACAAATAATACACGATGGTCTTGAAATATAGATTCTAGGTACTGACGTTGTTTATCATCTTTAACACATGTTATAGTATTCTTTCATTTGTCTTTGTAGACTATTACTTTTACTGTTTAGTCTATTTTTGGTAATATCCATTTGACGTGGCTCTGTACGTATACATCACGTCATTGTGTTATTCTGCTATGTTAAATTTTTGTATTCTTGTATTTCGTTTTTACTAATGTGCTTTGTCTCTATGCCTTATTTTTTTATGTTGACCTATTTGTTTGTTTTCATTGTGATTAAGATTATAACACAATTTGACTGCTGTACTCCTATGTTTGACATTTTTACCTATTATGTCTTTTTGTTTTCTTCACACATCAATGTCAATATAATGGCATTTTTTGCTACTGTCATACAAGTGAGAGGTTTAGCTAGCTATAAAACCAGGTGTAATCCATCATTTTCTACACTAGAAAATGAATGTACCGAGTCAGGAATATGACAGTTGTTATCATTCGTTTGATGTGTTTGGATTTTGAGTTGCCATTGCTTAGGGACTTTCCGTTTAGAATTTTCGGTATTTTGTTATTTTACTTTTTGCATAACAGAAAACATGTCAGGGTTTGTTCAATGGTAAAGACACACCCAATAAAGACAGAACACAAATTATCTGACGATATAGTTTTGAAATCGTTATGACAATGCTAAATATAAAAATCAACGTTTGTTGGTGCAACGTTAGAAATATAAAACCATAATTAAAAAAAAAAAGAATAAAAAACCTTAAACATTTTTGAATATTGCTTGTTCTCAGTCCTAGAGTATGTACTTTTTCAAATTTTTGTGTTAGGCCGTTTTCACATTGAGCTAAAGTTAACTAAACACTTAGAATAAACTTTATTACGTTTCCATTGATAAAATTCAATGTTTACATATAGTTTAAATCAGGTTTCGACAACATGCAGTCCATAGTCAATATAGGACTTGTGTATGTTAAGTATACATATAACTTGATATTAAGAACGTGGTTTTTACCATGAATATTTAAGGAGGTTACAATTATTGAAAAAAAAATGATTTCTAATATTTGTTTTCTTTTTTGCTAATGGAATATTCATTTTACATCTGAGCTGAGTCAATATATGAATTCACCTTATGCAAGCGCACATATATGTGTATAAGACTTTGAAAGATTTTGGAACATTCAAATACAAAATAAAAGATAAATTTGGTCTGTTTTGTACGGTCCTTATAACAACTCAATTTTCAAACAGTTCCAGATTATGCATACAGATTTTTTCAACCGGAAACACGATAACAAATGTATTGATAGCATGCATATTACTTATTGATATAACGGCTTTATTATTTAGCACGAACATTTTTTCTTTTCTTTTTGTATACAACTATTTCTTGCAAAGTCCTGCATTTTTTAGGGAAAAATATTTATTGTGAACCTTTTTTGGAAACGGTTATTTTGAACAGTTAGTACCAGTCCAGAATATTAATTTCCAAAATCACCACTAAGGTTTTGGGGTAATAGAAATATTGTCACTTAGGTCTTATTTACAATCGACAGTAAAACCCTTGTCAAAGTGTATCATCAGTTTGGCTGTGCGGGATGTACAAGTATGTAGCAACGACCTGTCAGAATGGGGACATTAAATCTGATAACTTGTGTAAAGAGAGATCAGAGCACGTTAAAAACCCTTGCAACAACACTTTCAAGGGTCTGTTGGTGACCTGTTGCAAGGGATATACTCTTTCCCTATCCAATATACTCTAATTTTCGAGTGGCAGTCTAAATTTCTCTGAACTTCGTCCCGAGTGGCTTCTATTATAAGACCTACCTATTGTTTTGATTGTGAATTTGTTCATGTCCTGAACACGTATGAAATATTTGCCACTAGACATGAATCAACCACCAATCAATCCATCCCTTATTTTCAAAATATTTTTTTCGCCTACAATTATGCTGTGTTATCCTGTTTAATTGTGATATCTTTAGAACACTCAAAGTTCTACAAATCAATATAACAATTTTTGGAAGGTATTTACCATTCATCTTATTGTGACAAACCATTATTTTTCATATTTATAAAAAACAAACAATTTTTCATCCATAACATACAGGAACATTTATTTAACTCCATGTTGTTTACACCGCCCTTCATTTTCAATGGAATGAAACAATTTTCCTCACCCCTTCCTGAAACAAATGTATGTTTTCTGTAAAAAAAATGGAATTTAAACAATTTATCTAACCACCATCCCCCCGAAACCCCCTCCCCCCCAAAAAAAAGTTTATAATTGAAAATAATATGAATTGGTCTGCGCCTAACTGATGTAACAGTTTGCAGCACTATTCGTAAATTACATGTGCATATTGTTTGCTGGTTGAACATTTTCCATAAAGAGGTAATTGAAACTGATGTACAGATGAGAACAAATTTAATGTAAAACCAGTGGTCATTACTTGAAACTAATTGTAAAACATGTACAGAATGTGACGTTTGGTGTGTATAGGATCTTAGTTGGTGTATTTTGAGTCCGAATCTTATATTTAGTTTAATCTCTATGTTAAAATCTAAATCACTTGTGACCTACAATTCTTGCCAAGTATTGTCATAAAATTTGTCCTCCAACTAAACTAAAATTACATAGAATATATACTTTGATCATTCGTGAGTGTGAAATGTTTTGTCGTGAACTCATGTCAGCCTTCTACTCATTAAGTTGAATATATGATGATTATGTTATAGTTTTTTCTTCTGTATTCAGACAAACATATGATTAAAATTAGTTTCATGTTTTATTTTTAATCATTAAAAAATTTCAACAGCAGTATTTCTATACGTGTGTTGTTTGGTCAGTTTGTTCATAAATAGATATCAGAAATGTATGATTATTATGATGATTGGCATTTAGTTGAAGCTTTATGTTCTTCCGATATTAGCAAATATAAGATATCAAAATCATCATTTGAAAAAACATACATTAAGGAAACAAAGGAAAAACTCTTTCCTCATATTTATGTTTATGTTTTACAGATATGCCTCATATTTATGTTTATGTTTTACAGATATGTCGGCAGTGACAATAATTGGTCGTTATTACTCTTCCTGAACTTAAAAATGAAAAATGATACGATAGAAGGACGTTGGAGTTTGTAATGGAACACACTGCATGTCGGATAGACCGCGACGGAGCCCAACTATTGAGTGATATCGTAAAGTAATTCTAACTTTCATCAAAAGAATGATTACGACGACTTTCATTAATTTTACTGAAACATTTAAAGGAATAAAAAAAGATAATGAGCATGCAAGAATTAGGACCACAGAACATCTCCAATACACACTAGTGACTCACAGTCGGACAATCGAGTGAATGTTACAAGGAATATGATGTTAATTATAAATATATAAAACATGGGACATTCGAATCGGTAAATTGTGATTACATATTAAATCATTATCCATACTGCCGACGTATTCGGGACAATAGTATCAATAGACCAAAGCGAAATATATGTCAACTTGTGTTGAAAATAGTTCTAAAATAAACTCGAACTGATTTAACTGGCAAATATGAATGATAATCAAAAGCAAAAAAATGTCTACCGTATTCAAATAAAAAAGGCGATTTGGTAGTTGAAGCAAAGATGTGAACTAAAGTACATATACATACTCCAATCAAGATGCATAAATGACAGACGTATAAATGAGTGGTTTAGTTAGATTCTTAAGAGCTTTCATTGAGGGGTTTATAAAATGTTGGTGTTTGAGTGAATGTATTCTGAGATGCATTATACACATAACAGTATTTACTTGGGTAAAAGCGGGAAGTTTAAATCGGGAATAGCTAATGCCCATGCTCCTTACAGTGGATAATACGTCAGAATGTGCATGCATTTAACAAAATGTGTATGATGCCGTGATGCAATTATATTACACCATCAAAAATATATTGCAGCTTATATAATATATTTTGTTGCATCATTTATTGACAGGGAATTCATAAACGCAATACTTTGAATTCGGTAAATAAGTTCGCAAAACAGTCAATGCATACTGTTTTTTTTTTGGCTTACATGTTCGATTTTTATAAATTATTAAAGTTCACAAAGAGTCATGTGTTAAAACAATCACAAAACGCTAAAAGCTATTACGTAAACATATAAGCATTTAATGCAACATATATTGATTGTCTTTTAGGTATAATAAATAAACAAATATCAATCATGAATTGAACGGTGCATTATTATAGATACACGGTACCCTGAATAACATCGTCATTCATAGTAAGTGAGGAAACTTCCTTTAAATTTCGAGGAAGAGGTTGTCAAACTATCTACAACCGAATATACATTTCTGTTGTTGGAGCAAGATAGTACAGATTCTAAGAAGATAATGATTTATTAGCGACTGTTAGTTTCGATGCTTGATGAATTTTTTTGTTTCAAAAAGCGAGTACGAATTTTCAATTCTAAATACTGTCAAATCAAAATCTTACGAAATCTATCACAAAATAAAATCAATTCTTCATGTTGTTCTTTTAAACCGCTTTTTGATGGGGTTAGTGTTGTCTTTAGTTTACTATGTTGTTTTTTGTGTTCTGATGTGTGTCTTTTTTTTGTCTTTTGGGGTTTTTTTTTGCCATGTCTTTGTCAATTTATTTTCAACTTTTGAGCTTTTTTTCCCTTTGGTATCTTTTGCCTCTTTTCTCAAATCATATAAGGATTATTTACTCCTGAGCATTGAATATTACACACAATAACCGTATTCTGTATGATGCTGAGGGTATTACGAAGAAAAAGTCTCCACAATTCCCGCTTTAATTTAACTCTTCTTAAATTTAAAACGAAACCAACCCCATGTCCGTGTCCGCGTGCAACCCCATACTTCTTCAAAGACAAGTCTGTAGATTTAATTTATAAAGTTCTACAGACAGTCTCGGATGCATTATTAAATGGATTAAATAAATGTATTTCAAACACACGCAGACTGTGATTGACATGTTGAACTATATATTTTGTCTAATATCAGAACCTGGACATTTTACTTAGGGCAGCTGTATAAAATGTAAAAATCAGATTGAAAAAGCTGGATCAAAAATAAGCAAAAAAGAACGAGAAAGTTACACACAAAGTCTAAGAGACTAGTAGTTCTGAACGTTTAATTCATTATTTCAAATTGTATTCCATTGCACCATACTGAACCATTTGTTAATACAGCTGGAGAGGTATGACCTTTCTTAATCATTTAGCAGTTATATAATCGGTTAGTGATACACTATAAAGTGTTAATGTTTACACTATGAAGTTGATGGCAACATTTTGTCGTATTATGAATATATAATCAAGTTGCAAAACCTTTGCCTTCAGAATCAATCACATAACAAGTAACTCTGTTTGTCTGTTCCTTCCCGTATATAGTGGAATAACTTTTATGTTCAAGTTAATTATCAATAAAAACTGGGAAAAGCAGCACACTGTTATAGAACACATACAGTTGATACATACCAAATTATCGGTGTTTACATGTTTCTTTTTTATCTAAAAAAAAAAAGGGTACGCGAGAATTAAGTGCAATTGATAAATTTTGAAAGGAAATTTTGCAGTATACTATGAGCTCAAATATATGTGTATCAGTCCGACATCATTGCTTGTGTTTCGTACTGTTAGTTCCCATGCTTATCATCAAAATAATAGCAATTGTTTTGAATTTCCACCAGAGATTGATCTGGATCTTTCATTCCTGTAATTTTCAAACAACGCTATACTTCTAAGACTGTCAAATGCTCATAAGGGTGTGAAATAAAAATTGTTGAAGTAGAGTTTCAATCATAACACCTGTGTAATCTAGTTTGTCTTGTTATAGCTTTGTAGAAAACCCTTATATCATTAATTTGCTTTACGTCAGTTCAACAACTCTCCCCAGTAGATTGTATCATCTTGCAAATTGGCGACGATGGCCATTCGTGTTCACAGTTTATTCGCTTATATAAACAAGAGGGCTATAACTGTTAGAGCATAATAATAAGGAATAGAGAACAATGGAGTTGTACACTATAGAGAATAGGGGATAATGGGTGCTACATTATAAAGAATAGAGAACAATGGGGTTGTACACTATAGAGAATAGAGAATAATTGGGTGCTACATTATAAGGAATAGAGAACAATGGGGTTGTACACTATAGAAAATAGGGAATAATGGGTGCTACATTATAAAGAATAGAGAACAATGGGGTTGTACACTATAGAGAATAGGCAATAATAGGAGCTACATTATAAAGAATAGAGAACAATGGGGTTGTACACTATAGAGAATAGTGAATAATGGGTGCTACATTATAAAGAATAGAGAACAATGGGGTTCTACACTATAGAGAATAGAGAATAATTGGGTGCTACATTATAAGGAATAGAGAACAATGGGGTTGTACACTATAGAGAATAGGAAATAATGGGTGCTACATTATAAAGAATACAGAACAATGGGGTTGTACACTATAGAGAATAGGGAATAATGGGTGCTACATTATAAAGAATAGAGAACAATGGGGTTGTACACTATAGAGAATAGAGAATAATGGGTGCTACATTATAAAGAATAGAGAACAATCGGGTTGTATATTATAGAGAATAGGGAATAATGGGTGCTACATTATAAAGAATAGAGAATTACGGAGTTGTATAATATAAAAATGAAAATAACAGGGTGCTATAGTATAAAGAATAGCGAATCATTGGTTGGTACGATAAAAAAAAATTAAGAATAATGGACCAAAAAAAATAGGAAAAGAGAAAGATGGAATGAAATATTTTAAGATACACAAATGAAGACATCCAGACATCCAGACCATTTTTTCTTGTCGTAAGATGCAACATTTGGTTCTTCTTCAATCATCATCCCATTACTAGTTGATTTACTGCTAAAGTTTTCAATAGTTTCTAGTCTGTATTGGTGTCGTGAGTTATAATTTATCTTCTCAACTATATATTGAATATTTGTGTGACATATGTTATACAAAGGTCATACTAGTTCGTGGTTTTACCACTGTGTTGTTTTCAATGGATAGTACAGCAAAGATCAAATGTTTTGGCATCTTCAAGTGAGAATGACTTTTATTTCATGAATAACAACCCAACAGCATTTACAAAGGATGTTTGCATATTATTCAAGACAATCTCTTTATGATGACTACCAAGGGACATTATTCTTTTGACCTTGAGAAGATAAAAGCCAATCCTCGATTAATATTGTTAAAAAGATGTTGATCAATGTAAGGCCTGAATTTCTCTTAATCTACGATTGTAATAATAAAGGTAGAAAACACAAGCGAATAGTACAAATCTCCATTTAAAGGCAATAGTCGACTGACGGTTTTGGTCTACTGACTTTGTGTACATGTACATCTTCCATCGTTCATACTTTTGGCTGTTACATCATCTGTCAATCTACTGTATGTTTTGTCAAGAACGCACAGAGTGGTCGAAATTTTAAATTTCGGTCATTTGAATTTGTTTGCAGATATCAACTAGCGGATCATAGTTTGTTCTTATAAATAATAGTTCCCTTTCTCTATCATAGCTTTCACGAATATATGCAAAAGCCCAAACAATAGATTAACATGTCATTGAAGGGTAAAGACTCCTATGATGTGTCGACTGACAGCTTCAGCATTCTGATTTATTTGTAGATCTTGCCAAGATGATTTTGTCTGCCTTTTAAAGTTTCTCTTTGAGGTCTAAAAAATGTAAAGTTTTAATCAAAAGAAAAGTTGCAGAAAAATTATTTAAAATCGATATCAAATTAAAAAAAAACTCGTATTGAGAGTCGACTAATTATATCGGATGGTTATATATATAGGACAAAAACTCACTAACATGAATGGACAATAAACAAAAGATGAAAATATTATTGAGTTGATGACATGTGGGGTAGTACTTGAAATAAAACATAGCTTAATTTTCAAATTTTGTAGAAGTTAAAACCAATTTTTAGCAATATTTTGTACATGTTACAACATGTACGAAGTACTTTTGTACATGTTATAACTTGTATTTTTGCATTGTACAAATTATAACAGGTACAATATTTCTGTACACATTATAACATGTACAAAATCGCAACTTGTACATGACATGTATATAACTGTGTAACTCTATTCTTAAGCTTACCAATAATGGGTTTGTAAAAAGGTCTCCCTATCTTTTAAAGGTATCAAGTTTATAGACAAAAACACAAATAAAAATCGTCAATCAAGTGCAACATTTTCTTAAGTAGTCAACAGACCATTTCGACCCTGGTAGTTAGTCGCATATCTTTTCTTGTTGATTCAATTCCATCAAACGAATCTCTCTATTTATCATAGTTTTCACAATAATTTTCAAAACACTAGGCAGTGCAAAGAGATAAGAAATGCTGACACTGAACCTTCGAACCAGGTGAGCTAACACATTGCAATACGCTTAGTTATATTTATCTAATATTCATTTAAATCCGTTATGATGTAAAACACTGATATGAATTGTTTCTGCATGTCATAAACCTTCCCCTTTTAAATGACAACGACATAGATGCTTTCACATCATTTCTATAGTATATAGAGGTGCGACAAATGATGTATATCTGTATCAGTTTAAACCACACTAATTCAAAATGAAGGTCGCTGCTCTTGGTTTTGTTTTTTTATTGTAGATAATCGGAATACTCTGGTTTTATCTGAAGTGCAATTACAAATTTTGCCCGCTTACCCCTTCTTTTGATTTCATATTTCAATAACATAAAGTTTAAAAAAGTCTTTTTTGAAAATGACAAATAATCCTTGTTTTTATTTTATTTTTTTTTATTGTTTTTGAAAAAAAAATGAATGGTGCGAATGTTAAGTATACGAACATTCTAGAGAAAACCAGTTCCCGCCAAATGTTCAATGGCTTCTATCTCAAAAACAAGGACGCAGATGCTTGTCTGTTTTTTTAGTTTCGTTATTTATGTACTATCAATGTATAACAATATTTTAAAAATCTTTTTATTTTAAAACGCAGTAGCGAACTTCCTTAACACGCCATTATTCAACTGACAAAAACAATGATCATATCTTTGTTCTGTGTGTTCAAAGACATAGACCAGAATATTACATTACAGTAAGTAGATGTAACATCCGAATTCACTTTGTTTATGAGACTAAGATACTAGATCTAACATGCTTTTCGTTTTTGTAAAGACAAAAATGCTTTGTTCCTTCTTTTCTTGTATAAAAACAAGTACGCTCACTGCATGTAACGTGATTAAAGGATATGAGCTAAACTGTGTTCAGATTACTACTATTAACAAAAGCAGTTTGAAATTTCGTAATCAAGGGAGAAACTCGCAAACAATCTGGCATGTTCAACGTATTGTATTGTTTTAAGTATATATATATACATTTATAAAAAAAAATTATTAACAAATAAAAGAAACAAACAAGAAAAAAAAAACAGTTAAAAGAAACAAAAAGTCATTTCTGATCATAAAGGACACAGACAAAAATAGCGGGAATTCA